ACCCCCCACAGGATGCCCCTGGGGACACGGTCGTAAGCCTTCTCCAAATCCACAAAACACATGTGGACTGGTTGGGCGAACTCCCATGCCCCCTCCAGCACCCTGGCAAGGGTAAAGAGCTGGTCCACGGTTCCGCGTCTGGGACGAAAACCACATTGCTCCTCCTCAATCTGAGGTTCAACTATCGACCGGACCCTCTTCTCCAGCACCCTGGCGTAGACCTTACCTAGTAGGCTGAGGAGTGTGATCCCCCTGTAGTTGGAACACACTCTCTGGTCCCCTTTCTTGAAGATGGGGACCACCACCCCGGTCTGCCATTCCAGAGGCACTGCCCCCGATGTCCACGCAATGTTGCAGAGGCGTGTCAGCCAGGACAGCCCTACAACATCCAGAGCCTTGAGATATCCAGAGCGAATCTCGTCCACCCCCGGGGCTCCGCCACCACGTAGTTCCTTCACTACCTCGGCGACTTCTGCCCCCAAAATTGGATGACCCGCCCCCGAGACCCCCGGTTCTGTTTCCTCACTGGAATACGTGTTGGTGGGATTGAGGAGCTCCTCAAAGTATTCCTTCCACCGCCCGACAATGTCCCCAGTTGACGTCAGCAGCTCCCCGCCCCCACTGTAAACAGTGTGAGCAAGTTGCCGCCTTCCCCCCCCTGAGGTGCCGGACGGTTTGCCAGAACCTCTTTGGAGCCGATCGATAGTCTTTCTCCATGGCCTCACCGAACTCCTCCCACACCCGAGTTTTTGCCTCTGCGACTGCCGCTGCTGCGCTCCGCTTAGCCCGGCGGTAACCGTCAGCTGTTTCTGGAGACCCACAGACCAACCATGCCCTGTAGGCCTCCTTCTTCAGCCTGACGGTTACCGCCGTGACTGGCCCCCGCGGCCTTGCGGCCACAGCTCGCAACAGCCGCCTCGACAATGTCAGAGCAGAACAAGGCCCATTCGGACACAATGTCCCCCTCCACCCTCGGGACGCGGTTGAAGCTCTCCCAGAGGTGGGAGTTGAAGATCATCTTGACAGGTTCTTTAGCCTGGCGTTCCCAGCAGATCCTCACTGCTCGTTTGGGCCTGCCAGGTCTGCGCGGCGTCCTCCCCTGCCACCTGATCCAACTCACCACCAGGTGGTGATCACTTGACAGCTCTGCTCCTCTCTTCACCCGAGTGTCCAGAACATATGGTCGCAGGTCAAATGATACGACTACAAAGTCAATCATTGACCTGTGACCTAGGTTGTCCTGGTGCCACGTGCACTGATGGACATCCTTATGCTCGAACATGGTGTTAGTTATGGCCAAACTGCGACCCGCACAGAAGTCCAATAACTGCACACCACTTGGGTTCAGATCGGGCAGGCCGTTCCTCCCAGTCACGCCCCTCCAGGTCCTGCTGTCATTGCCCACGTGAGCGTTGAAGTACCCCAGCAGAACAATGGAGTCCCCGGTCGGGGCACTGTCCAGCACCCATCCCAGGGACTCCAAAAAGGGCGGGTACTCTGAGCTGCTGTTCGGTGCATAAGCGCAGGCAACAGTCAGGACCTGTTCCCCGACCCGAAGGTGTAGGGACGCAACCCTTTCGTCCACTGGGGTGAACCCCAACGTACAGGCAGAGAGTCTGGGGGCTATCAGAAAGCCCACCCCGGCCCTCCGCCTCTCACCCGGAGCAACTCCAGCAAAGGGGAGAGTCCAACCCCTCTCAAGGACTTGGGTTCCAGAGCCGGAACTCTGTGTCGAGGTGAGGCCGACTATATCTAGCCGGTAGTGCTCAACCTCTTCCACAAGCTCCGACTCCTTCCCCGCCAGAGAGGTGACATTCCATGTCCCAAGAGCCAACTTCTGTATTTGAGGATCTGACCGCCAAGGCCCCCTTCTTGGTCTGCTGCCCTATCCACATTGCACCGAACCCTTCTGGATCCCTCTGCGGGTGGTGGGCCTGCAGGGGGACGAGCCCATGTAGCCGGTTCGGGCTGGGCCCGGCCGGACCCCATGGGCGAAGGCCTGGCCACCAGGCGCTCGCCCACGGGTCCCAGCCCCAGGCCTGGCTCTAGGGCGGGGCCCCGGTAACCCTCCGGGCCGGGTACGCCAACTTTTGCTGTTTTCCATCATGAAGGGTCTTTTGAACCGTTCTTCGTCTGACCCTTCGCCCAGAACCAATCTGCCATGGGAAACCCTACCAGGGGCGAAATGCCCCCGACAGCACAGCTCCTAGGGTCATTAGGGCACTCAAACTCCTCCATCACGATAAGGTTACGGTTCTCGGAAATTGAATTTTGAGAACTGAATGTGAAGATATATAGAAATAAATTCAATTTCAAATTATACTATTCAGATTCAGTTTTTCAATGTAATGATTCAAATTAACAATTCAATTTCAAATTATACTATTCAGATTCAGTTTTTCGATGCAATGATTCAAATTAACAATTCAATTTCAAATTATGATTCAAATTCAGTTTTTCAATGCAATTATTCAAGTTTAGAAATTCAAATTCAAATATAAATGATTCAATTTCAAATTATGTGATTCAAATTCAGTTTTTCAATGCAATTATTCAGGTGTAGAAATTCAAATTCAAATATAAATGATTCAGATTCAGTTTCTGGTGGCACATATTTCAGCCCATATAGATGTAGGGGGCGGGTATTTATATGTCAGGAGTTAGGAGTTAGCAGTATAAAATTAAGAGACTTGGGATGGACCCTTGGTGTCCAAATCTTCATAACTCAGCAACCTCTCATGCTGCTTGCTCCCACTGCTGCTCTGTAGTGATTCTGTGACTCCAAACCCAGATGATTAGCAAACCACCCTCACCTGGTGCACTCAGCCTTGTGCCTTCATGCTGGGAGGGGCATTCAACCTGGTGCATCCAGGCTGGAAGGGCGTGGCCCACAGTTCAACTCCACAGCAGCAGCAATGTCACACCAAGCCCCCAGATCAGCCAATCCGCAGAGGCAATGTCACAGAAAGTCACCCATGTGGCGCAGGGCATCTGCACCTAGTGAGACACAAATATCCTCACAAGAAACGAGAGCCCTCACTCTCTGGAAACATGACTGCTGCTTAAAGCAATTCTTACCTTCCTTGCATTTCACAGAAAAACTCACAACCAAGACAGTCAAATGCAACCCCGGAGTTTTAAAATTCAACCGGAGTCAGTGATAGGCTGACCAAACATCCTCTTTTGCCCGGACATGTCCACTTTTCACGTCCTGTCCGGGGCATCCGGGGGGTGTTTATAAATTGATGATAATGTCCGGTTTTCCTTGTGTGTGTGTGTGTGTGTGTGTGTGTGTGTGTGTGTGCGCGCGTGTGTGCGTAATCCCCGACAGGCTGCCTTATCGGCGGATCTCCAACACTCACAACGAGGATGCAGCAGACACCCTCAGCGCAGCATTATTCTAAGCTTCCAAGATGCCGAAGCTCAAGTGCAGCTTCGTAGGTGAACTGCAGAAAAAATTTACCAACTTACCATCCCAACCCGGTCGGGATATTTGGGAGGCTGAGTGCACCGTGTGCAAAGCTGGCACATATGATTCTGTGTCTAATAAAGGTGCCGGGGACCTCAAAGTTGGATTGTCTAATACAGAAGAGGTATTATTTAGAACATTATTTCATATTATTTATTTATTTATTTATTCATTTATTTGTTTATTTGTCCAGTAAGACTTGAAAAGATAGCTATTATTTTACAAGTTGATTTTTCTAATACAGAAGAGACATTATTTCTATCATTATTTCATTCCAGAGATTTTACATTTATTTTACATTTATATTTATTTTTGTACAATTGAAACTTGTAAAACGATTATTATTTTAGGCATAATAAAAGCAAGTTGAGTAACCTCTGAGAAGCCTATCTAAATTTCTGTCTTTGAGAGATATTATTTTGTAATATAACTGAATTTTCTATCCATACTTATAAACTTTAAATATATTAAAATTATAAGGCATCTTTGAGTAAACCGTGAGTATCATTTAAGTAGGCTATCTCGTGGCCGGGGCGAGTGTCCTCTTTTTTGGAAATCAAAATATGGTCACCCTAGTCAGTTATGACTGATGAGTTTTAGAATAAGGTTCCAGTGCTAATGTTAGATAGTAGCGTCAGCGTTATTAGTAAGTGGAAAAGCACAAGGAAGATAATGTTAATGTTTCAGAGGCCACGCTACATTAGGCTAACGTTAGCCATTAGCAACTGGATGCTGTGTTGTCATAACGTTATGAACTGAACTGAGCTTCTTTATTTGTCATTTTTATGCACAGCACAAAAACAAAATGACATTTCGCATACTGCAAGCGAAAAGAAACAAAACATTTAAAAACAATTTGTGCAACATACAGTATAAGATAGAACATATAGTGCAGTAATAAAATGAAAAGGGTCGACATTTCACAGTCAAAAACTCCACATCCAGGGAGCAGAACTGGGAGATTCTCTTCACATCACAGCACCATGAATTGTTTACGTATATTGCCAGACTGCCACCACAGAGCTTACCAGATGATGCAGCCTCCTTCTCTGCTCTATGTAGTGTTAGCCCCGTCAGCTCAACACTGGAGTCTGATATCTTACCATTCATCCATGTCTCACTGAACACAAGGACGCAGCAGTCCCTCACTCCTTGGTGAGTGGATCTCCACAGTTGGATGTAATCCATTTTCATGTCCAGCGAGCGAATGTTCGCCAGAAGGCCACTGGGAACAGCTGGTTTGATGGGGTTAGCTCTTAGCCTAGAGCTAACCCCTCTGCACTTCCCCTGCTCCCGCGTCCTGTCACAGCACTACCGGCGTCTCCCCGTCGGGACAGCTCCAGGCGAAACCACGGTCATCTCAGGGCTAGCTCGACGTAGCACGCCAAGCTTGCTACACATCCTATGCTCTCTCGGTTGTAGCGTTAGATCTCTGCAGCAGTTTCTAATGTCTTTACTTATCTAATGAATTTGCTTATTTTTGCACCGTGTTTACCTTGCCTGTATACACAGAGGCTGGATGTTACGCGAGCAGTTACCTCAGTGGCCAGAGGCCTCCATGTGGGGAAGACAGACAGGACAGGAGAAAACTCCGACCAATCATTGCATTCGTTTTTATTTCTGGTGGAATTCACTAACATTTTAGTGTGCCATCAGCTTATTAACTGCATTTTAACCTAAACAAAGAAGTGTAACATTTCCAGAAAAATTAAAGATACACAATGAAAAACCCTTAAAAAGCAGTGTAATGGGTAGAAATATGTATATATTCACTGGTATGGGCACGAGTTAAACTGAACTACACGTGGGTCGGGTTTGGCACTGAGCTTTATGGGTATGGATAGGTGTACGTTTTTAAAAATGGAGAAGGACACAACACAACAAACTCTTCCTAGCACTCCTCTCTCTAGCCCTCACAAATGCTTCCACCGTTTTCTTCCTGCAACGCATCACCCCGTGCAAGACATCAAAACAACACCTCTCCTTTGGCTGAGACTTGGCTACAAAAACAAACAGATCAACAAAGGATATGGAAAAATGTTGAATGATGTTGATGTGCAATTGTACATAGCAATTACATCATAGCCTATTTTCGCCGCAGTCGGCTGCAGCGTTCTCTCTCAATACTGGACCACTTTAGTAATTTATGTTCCTAAAGCCCAGTTCAGACCAAAGATTCGCGATGAGACAAAACCATTTTAGAATATCGTCCCAAGCCAGCTGATGGTGTCACCTGCAACTCAGCTGGTCAAATTGCAGACAGCTGGTTTTAAAGAACGTCACCGGTTTCAACAGCAAATCAGCTTGTATTAAAGTTTGCTGGTCAAGTCAAAATGAATGCAGACGGCATGTTTACTTGTTGCAGCAGTTGCTCTGTTCCCGCCGAGCCCTCTGTTTTGGTCCTCATGGTGTGCTGGTGTTGGACGGTGGGTCACTGCTGCTGTTCGCTGTGCTTATGCCCCGCCTGCTCACAGACATTCTCAATGACTAACTAATTGGTGCTGGTTATTGGTGCCGGTGAATACTGGGAAAATAACTCCCGACAAGGGAAAAGAACCCTGACGTGCAGTTATTTATTTAATTATCTGTAAAATAA